GGAGGGGGAAGTTTGGGGATGGGAGTGTGTGTGTGTGCAGGAGGGGGAAGTTTGGGGTGTGTAGGGAGGCGTGTGCAGGAAGCTGGGAGGTGGGGGTTGTGCATGTGTGCAGGCAGGGGGGAGTTTGGGGGAATGGGCAGGAGGCTGGGGGGTTGTACATGCAAGAGGGAGTTGTGTGTAGGATAGGGGAAGTTTGGGGGATGTGGAGGGTGTGCACGAGGCGGGGAGGTGGGAGTTGTGTGCAGGAGGCTGGGGGTTGTGTGCGCAGGAGGGGGAAGCTTGGGGGAGGTGTGGAGGGTGTCTGTGCAAGAGGGATTTGAGTGGGTGTGTGTGTGGGGAAGATGCGGGGAGCTGGGGGGTGCAAGCCAGAGCAGGGGAGCATTGCACGTCCGCAAGAAGTACAGTGTGCAAGAGGGATGTTGTAGCCCGGGTGGTCCAGGGATCAGGAGAGGGCCAGGGGGTTCTTAGGATGAGAGAGATTTCTTATTGGACCAGCTGTGGCTGGGATCCAGTGTGACAAGACATCGTTGGATTTCTTCACTCTTAAGAAATCCTTGTCTCGTGAAACATACAGCACCCGCTACCGCTGTGGAGCGGCCCCCCCCTGCACGCCCAGCCTGCCGTGTCAGAGGCTGTGGGAGCTTTGTGCGTCGATTTGCACTGGGCATGAATAGCAAGGTTTCCTGTCCAGGCTGTGGGCTGAGTCTGGCACAAGCCAAAGTCTTCATTTAGAGCAGTGGTTTTCAACCTTTTTAAACTCAAGGCCCTCTCTCCCCCTTACCACATGCTGGCTTTTGGCTTTCACATTTTTTTTGACTACAGGAAGACACTAGAGCAGTTCTGCTGTTGCCAACTCAGCTAGCCCACAACAGGTCAGAATGGTTTTAACACTGTGGGTCCCTATTTGAAATCTTTAGGTTTATCTTGTGAGCCATGGCTGCACCCCTAGCAGTGCTGACATTGTGCAGTACCCTGTAGCACCCTGGAAAGGGTCTCAAGGCACCCCAGGGTGCTGTGGCACTTTAGTTGAGACGCGCTGGTTTAGGGTTCTAATGTCGGGCAACATGCCATGTTTACCTGGTGTGGGGTAGACTTGTATCCCTACAAATATTGCCCCTGGGGGCAGCAGGGCTCATTGCAACACTGGTTACTCATAAGCTTACTTGGAAGGAGGGGACTCCATTCTTTGTGGTGAGGTGATCACGTGTTCAGTGCACTTTAGGCCCTTGAGGTCCCAAATAAGAGGTTTTT